TCTTCTCTTCTCTTCTCTTCTCTTCTCTTCTCTTCTCTTCTCGGAAGAAATATGTGCCTGAGCCTAGGGCATCCGGAAGTCTGTATATAGGATTCCCTCCTTTAACAACAGTGGGAACTGAGTGGACACTCCCCTTGGCTCACAGAACTGTTGAAAACATCAACAGCTGCTTCAGAACATATCCTGTGTCCTCTTTCAGATGAAATGGTCAGAATAGGAACCTTTTCTTTTAAGTGTGACTTTTCCTTCTCACTGCCCCTCAGCCAGCAAAATCACAGTGGTGGGTAGAAAAGACACCCAGCAGAGGGGCTGCATTAGAATGACTTTCCCCTCTGCTCTCCTTCTAGGGCAAATGTTTCTGGACCAGATGAAGCCTGAGGAGCCTTCCAGCTGTATGATAATAGGCTAGGAAGCCTTCTGAGTGTGGATTTGCTGAAGACTTGCCCTGCCTCTCTGCACAATGTCAGGTGGGAGGCAGGCCTGGGGCTGGAGATGGGTGAGAGGCTGCCCAGAGGGAGGGGAGGGTCTCACTTGGGAGGGCCATCCAGTGGAATGGAAACAGGCAGACCTTTGAGGGTAAGAGTGGGAGAAAGGAGGAGGTCCTCCTGCGGGTCATATAGGATTACCATAACTTTGCTCAGATCTCCAGTATCCCCGAACCTCACACTTGGGTGGAGGAAGAGCCAAGGAGATAAAATTTGGTTATGTTTTGTAACATGTGGCTTTTTTTCTTTTCCTTCCTCCAGAAAGTTGCTCATCTAGGTCTCTTCCCCTCCCTCACCATCCCACTTCAGATGGTGCAGTCCCTTTGCTGTTGGGCGCCCTTGTTGGGGGGAGTGGGGGAAATCCCAACTTGAATTTTTCCCCGGAATGCTCTGAATTTTCTTCATCTCCTATTCCTGGTCCTCCTTGATTTTAGGAAGCCACACACCTTCTGCCAGTGGCCCCTTCTCAGCCCTGACTCCAAGCATGTGGCCCCAGGAGATCTTGGCCAAGTCCACGCAGGTACAGCTCTGCTCCCAGGCTGTGGCGCCAAAGGGAACCTACTGCTGTAGCTTCCTGGGAGTGGGTAGCCACACCCCTGTAGTCATTCAGGCTCAGAAGCCACCATCAGACATGGCATCTTAGCTCTATGTCCTCTGGGAATCAGTCATTAGGTCGGAGGAAAAGTATTATGGCATCGTGTGCCCAGTGTTATTAGGATGCAGAGATGCATAAAATCTGTTTCTTACCCTGATCTTATTATCTTTGACCTCTAAGGAGAACAAGGAAAATGCTAGGCCAGTTTGAGAGGGTGGTGGCCCCTGTAGCTGAGTGATAACCACAGAGTCTTCAAGGAAGGGTGGCCTTCGATCTGAGTCTTGAATGCCAGTAGAATTTCAACAGACAGCAACGTAGGTGGCGTTTTACAGAATTTCTGGTGCCAGACCTGTGGCCATACAACTGACTCTTCCTCATCGTGGTTCTAGAAGGAAGAGTCAGTGGAGCAACCAGAGTTCTTCTATGATGAGTTCGGTTTCCGCGTGGACAAGGAAGGTAAGATGGAGCCCCTGGTGTAATCTTGTTGGCGCCTGGAGCTCCAGCTCTGGTGACTCTCACTGTGCAGCTGTGACCCGGGCTCTGGGTGTTTCACCTGCTTCTTCATCAACAGTGCTGCATGCTGTTACAAGTATATGGAAACTTCTGATTTTTTAAAACTTAGATTAATTTTATTGATCTTCACATCTGATAATAAAAGCAATAATGTTCATTTAGTGAAGTTGAAAAATACAGCAAAGTATAAAGATAAAAACAAAGTGACTCCTAATCCCACAACCTAAATATAATTGCTGATATTTTAGTTTATTCCTTTCCTGGTTTTGTGTGTGTGTCTTTATATACTTTTCATAACTAGTACACACACACACACACACACACACACACGGGAGGGGCAGAGGGAGGGACAAAAAGAATCCTAAGCAGGCTCCACATTGTCAACGCAGAGCCCGATGCAGGGCTCGAACCCATGAACCATGGGATCATGACCTGAGCCAAAATCAAGAGTCAGACTGAGCCACCCAGGCGTCCCAGGACCTCTTTAAAAGCATTTTTTCCAGTGGTTGCATTATATGCCATTATAATGGATTTATCATAACATTTTATAACTACTCTTATGTAAGTGAGCTCCTAGGCCATTTCCATTGTTTTCTATTCTAAATACACCTGCTGGTTCCCAGGCGGGCTGTCAGGAAGGCTGTCTGCCCGAACCCAGGCCAGCCTAGCCCAGGCCAGCACTAGCCCTGCGGGAGTTTACTGGGCTGAGGCCAGTCCTCTTCAGGTCGCTCATGTTCCAGTTCTGACACAAGTTTTCCTTGTTCTCTGGTTTGCAGGCAGATACATGGAAGTTAAAACCCAGGCCTGTGAGGAACACAGGGAACTCTCTAGCATAATGGAAATGATGGGGACCACATTGAGACATTTGTTTATTGATACCAAAGTATACACTTAAAATTTGTGCATTTTGCTGTGTGTATGTAAATTCTCGAATGGTGAAGTTTTGGAAAGCTGAGGCTGAGGGCGAGGCTTTACAGTGAGTGAGAACAAGGATCTTTGTAAGGCTAACGCTCCCTCGTGTTGCCTGGTGCCCACAGGAGCTTTGTCAGTGTTCACGCGACCATTTCAGGGGCCGTCCGCGGGTTGTCCACCCTCCACTGCTGCCTCCCCGGTGCCTCGAACAAAACCAAAGGTGGTCTTCGCCTTGTGGAATTCCCAGGCAGCAAACAAATAAATGCATGCTGGGGGCAAGAAGAACTCTGAAGAAATCTGGGGCTGTGGAGAAGGGAGGTGGATTGTGTGTTAGGTGATGAAGGAAGGCTTCTCCAAGGGGAGACATTTGGATGGAGACTAGGAGGAAGTGAGGCAGTGAGCATAGCCGGGGGAGGGAATAAGAAGGACAGAGATCCTGAGCTGGCAGTGGACTTGGTGAGGAACAGCGGGAGCCAAGGGAGCAAGAGGAGAGCAGTAGGTGATGAGGACGGAGGGGCCAGGCTGGAGAGATGTGGTCACCGAGCCTCGTGAGGCCTCTCGTGTGAGTGAGCAGAGTAACGTGGTCTGACTTGTATCTGGCAAGGGGCACTCGGACTGCTGAACACCTTTAGGGAGGCAGGGGTGGAACCAGACGAGTGAGAAGGCCTCACGATGACCCAGATGGAAGTCAATGACTTGGTCAAGGGCCATATCAGAGGTGGTAGAAGTGGTGAGAATCTGCCAACATATTTTGCCTGTGGGTTGAATGTGGGAGTAAGTTGAGCTGGAGCCAGAAGGGCTTCTGAGATCTAAGCCTGAGCATCTGGAGAGTGGAGGGGGGGTGTCTTTGGATCTGGAAGGGACTGGCCAGGGGCAGGTTTGAGAGAGAAATTAAAGAGCTCGCATTTGCTCGTGAGGATGCCTATTGGACATGCACCTGGAGCCACAGGAAGCTGTTGGAAACGTGGCTCTGCATTTCATTGGCCAGATCTGGGCACTGGACCCAAAGCCCAGGGCCTATCCCTGCTCACCACTGCGTCTCCCGGCTCTATCCTGACAGACGGTGCCAACCCCGGTTCCGGCAGGCCGTCAGGTGTGTCTCTGATGGAGGACCCTCCACAGAGACTGCGCTGGCAGGCCCACCTGGAGTTCACCCATAACCATGACGTGGGGGATCTCACGTGGGACAAGATTGCTGTCTCTCTGCCCCGCTCTGAGAAGCTTCGCTCCTTGGTGCTGGCGGGCATCCCACACAGCATGAGGCCACAGGTGAGGCGGCGAGGGACCTGCAGAGGGCCCGCGGGGGTTCAGGTGTCCCACTGGACGCTCATGGAGGCTCCCCCTCAGCTGTGGATGCGGCTCTCTGGGGCCCTGCAGAAGAAGAGGAATTCCGAGCTGTCCTACCGAGAGATGGTGAAGAACAGCTCCAACGATGAGACCATTGCTGCCAAACAGGTGAGGCTGGGATGGCACCAGGGGCCCTTCAGAAAGTGCTTTCTGGTCAGAAACTACGTGTGGGCCTGCAGGAGGGCGGTAAGCCGCCTGGGGTTACGGGGACCCACCCTGTTGGTCTGTCCTTGGCAGGGGTGGCCCAGGAGAGCAGGCAGCTGTGTGGCGGCCCTTCCACTCACAGACATGTGTCTGGAGCAAGCCTGTACTTCCTGGGTCCCTGTAGGCAGAAGGGACCATTGTTAAAAGATGACCAAACCTGGGTGCACATTAGGATCACCTGGAGACTTTTTATTCTTTAAAAATGTTTATTTTTGAGTGATAGTTTATGCAAATGTGCATGCACATGCACACACACAGGCATGTGTGCTCGGGGGAGGGGCAGAGAGAGGAAGAGAGAATTCCAAACAGGCTCCACACCATGAGCACGGAGCCCAGTGTGGGGCTCGAGCCCATGAACCGTGAGTGAGATCATGACCTGAGCCAAAATCACGAGTCAGGTGCTTAATTGATGGAGCCACCAGGCACCCCTCACCTGGAGATTAGTATAGATTTCCGGGCCTCATTCTAGAGATTCTCATTCTGTGATTCTGGCTTGAGGCCCAGGGATCTGTCGTTCTATTTTTGTAAGATCCCCTGGTGAATCTGGTGGTATCAGCTACACATAGCTGAGCTCTAATCCTGAAGGAAGCACATATGCTTTGACCCAGAGCATTAGGAACCCTCATTCTGGGTGAGCCTGCCTGGGGTTTGTCTGACACGGAGGTCTCCCAGCCTCCCTCACAGGGTGGTGCCTTAGGTGTCACCAGCGTGGAGGGTGCGGGCCTGCATCTCACAGGGCCTCGTTGTGGGTGGGCTGCTGGCAGATCGAGAAGGACCTGCTCCGCACCATGCCCAGCAACGTGTGCTTCGCCAGCGTGAGCAGCATCGGGGTGCCCCGCCTGCGCAGGGTTCTCCGGGCGCTGGCCTGGCTCTACCCAGAGATCGGCTACTGCCAGGGCACGGGCATGGTGAGCACATCCTGGAGGGGGAAGGGGGTGCCCCCGCACTGGCGAACAGTGCCGTCCTGGGCAGTAGGATGGGTGGTAGGGCTGGAGGTGGGGGTCCCCGTGGAGGGCCGGGGCTGCCAAGTATGTTGGTTCCAACCCTGAGGAGAGCGTGCGGTCTACGGTGGGACCTCCGGGGCGGTGCCGCTTCTAGTTCACATGGAGACCCGGGTAGAGGCCCCTTGTCCCCCTGCCCTGGCCAGGTGGCTGCCTGCCTTCTGCTGTTCCTGGAGGAGGAGGACGCTTTCTGGATGATGTGCGCCATCATCGAGGACTTGCTCCCCGCCTCCTACTTCAGCACCACCCTGCTGGGAGTCCAGACAGACCAGCGGGTCCTGCGCCACCTCATCGTCCAGTACCTGCCTCGCTTGGACAAGTTGCTCCAGGAGCACGACATTGGTAAGGGCCAGCACCCACCCTCTTCTCTGGGGTTGGGGGTCCTGTGTCCCTCTCAGGTATCACAAGTCTGAGGTCCCCAGATGCAGCCAGCAGCGGACAGGGCAGCCAACTGCGTTGGGAGGAAGGCTCCCACCTGATGATGGCTGAGCCTAGACCCAGCACATCACAGTCTCTGTCGTGCTCTTGTTCTCGGACAGCCTGTCTCGTCCCTCCCCTTGGAGTGGTCAAGGCTCTTGCTGCTCTGTGGGAGCTACCCTCCAGCTTCTCCCCAGCTTGTGTGCCTGGGAGCCCCCCCCCCGCCCCCGCCTTTCATTCCATCCCCTGCTGGCTGTGTTGGCCATCCCTGGTCCCAGCCACAGGGGGCTCCTGTCTGTGTCCACAGAGCTGTCTCTGATCACGCTGCACTGGTTCCTCACGGCCTTCGCCAGCGTGGTGCACATCAAGCTGCTGCTACGCCTCTGGGACCTGTTTTTCTACGAGGGCTCCCTGGTGCTGTTCCAGACCACGCTGGGCATGCTGCGGCTCAAGGTGCTGCAGTAGCCCCGTCCCCACTGGGGCCGGACGCAGATGCTCTGGCACCCCTCCTCTGGGGGCCGAGTGGGGTTCAGCCTTCAGCTTCCTGTGGCCTGAGCACCGGCCCCTCCTGAGAGGCCCACGGTGGGGGGGCCCCCGACCTGAGGACAGTGAGCAGGGTCAGCTCACGGGCCTGACGTTTGGCAGTGACGCTCCCTCCCCCCGACTCCTTCCCTCGTGTGGCTCAGGAGGAGGAGCTGATCCAGTCCGAGAACTCGGCCTCCATCTTCAACACACTGTCAGACATCCCTTCGCAGATTGAGGACGCGGAGCTGCTGCTGGGGGAGGCCATGCGGCTGGCTGGCTCCCTCACGGACGTGGCCGTGGAGACGCAGCGCCGCAAGCACCTGGCCTACCTCATTGCGGACCAGGGCCAACTCCTAGGGACCAGTGCCACCACCAACCTGTCACAGGTGGGCCCATGAGGAAGGAGGCCCTACCTCACCCCCAGCGTGGGGGTCCTCGAGGAAGCCCGAAGTGAGAGAGGCTGCAGGGAACCCGCCAGCCCTTCCTTGCTCTGCTGCCCCCTCCCCAGCCCGGCACCCGGGGCTTGGCCCAGTCAGACCACAGCTGTGGAATGACCCGCTGCCCTTGGCCTTCTGTGCATCTCTGCTGTGACCTGCCGTTTAGCTGTGTGGCAGACCCAGCTTTGAACCGACTGCATTTCTGATGCTCAGAGCTGGCTGCGGAGGCCGTTTCAGATGAGGTGGCACAAGTGAGATGTTGGCCCCAGGAGGAGCTCGGTTAGCTTCACCACCCCTGCCGGCTGCCGCTGACCCACACTCCCTGCCTGCAGGTCGTGCGGCGCCGGACCCAGCGGAGGAAGTCTGGCATCACCTCCCTGCTCTTTGGTGAGAACTGCCATGGCTGCCGGTGCCAGGCTGGGTTCAGGGACTCCTTCCCTGCCTGCGAGTTCCAGCTTGCGGCTCCCAGCGCCCCAGCAGGGCAGGGTGGCGGTGTAGACTAGGAGGCGTCCGTCCTCAGACCCCCACGTGGACCCTGAGCATCCTTGGGGTTGGGGAGGGGGTGCAGGCCAGGGGCCATGGCTGCTATAGCTCACTCGGGCTCCCAGGGGAGGACGACCTAGAGGCGCTCAAGGCCAAGAACATCAAGCAGACGGAACTGGTAGCCGACCTCCGGGAAGCCATCCTGCGTGTTGCCCGCCATTTCCAGTGCACAGACCCCAAAAACTGTAGTGTGGTGAGTTGTGGGCTCAACTTGGGGGCTCTCCCTCCCTGGCCCCATCCTGAGGTAGCGGAGGCCCTGGAGAGGAGGCGCCTCTCCTCAGTGGACCTCTCTGCTGTTGGGGCAGGAGCTGAGCCCAGACTACAGCATGGAGAGCCACCAGCGGGACCACGAGAACTATGTGGCATGCTCACGCAGCCACCGGCGCCGAGCCAAGGCCCTGCTGGACTTCGAGCGACACGACGACGATGAGCTGGGCTTCCGCAAGAACGACATCATCACGGTGCGTGGGCACATAGGCGCAGCTTCAGCGAGAGGTGGGGAGCTTGGCAGCGGGAAGCAGGGTGACCCCGGGCCGCCCGGGATCTGTCCCTGCTCCACCCACATGGCTGTAGGCACGGGGCCCGGGCAACCAAAGCTTTGCTTCCTCTTCCTCTCTGCCTACCGCGCAGATCATATCTCAGAAGGATGAGCACTGCTGGGTCGGGGAGCTGAACGGCCTGAGAGGTGAGGCCTCCGTCTGGAGGAGGGGTGGGCCAGGCATTGAAACCAGGAGCCCTTCTGTCACCCTCCGGCCTCAGCAGGAGCCGGGCTTCCTCAGCCTGCCGGCCTGCCCTCACGCGGCCCCCACGGGGCCCTGCTTCCCCCGCAGGCTGGTTTCCAGCCAAGTTTGTGGAAGTCCTGGATGAACGGAGCAAAGAGGTAAGAGGGTGCACAAGGTACGGCTGCCCCTGGGAGCTGCTGCCGCCGCCTCAACCCTGGCGCGTGCTGGCTGGTGGCAGTGGCTGTGAGGACGGGGAAGGGGTGTCTGGCCGCAGGCGTGGGACCGGGGCCTCTCAGACCCTGTCCCCCGCCGTCAGTACTCCATCGCGGGGGATGATGCTGTGACAGAGGGGGTCACGGACTTGGTTCGAGGGACCCTCTGCCCAGCTCTCAAGGCCCTGTTTGAACATGGGCTGAAGAAGCCGTCCCTGCTGGGAGGTGCCTGCCACCCTTGGCTGTTCATTGAGGAGGTAAGTCAATGGCTGGACCCACGTCCCCAACTGTCCTTCTCCTTGAGCCCTTCCTTGGGCCCTGTAGAGCTGGCGCAGGAGCTCATGGGTGGCAGTATGCGCTTGGTTGGACTCTGTGACTTTGATCTGGTACCTATCCTGGTGTCCCTCACACTCACCTTGACCCCCAGGCAGCAGGCCGGGAGGTGGAGAGAGACTTTGACTCGGTGTATTCACGCCTGGTGCTGTGTAAGACGTACAGGTAACAGGCCCAGCCGCCCTGCCTGGTGTCCTCCTGGCAGGGTCTCCTGGTGGTTTTGTGGGGAGGGGGTGGGCACAGCCCGAGCCCTCCATGTCAGGGCAGCCACGGCAGCTTCGGTTCCTCCCTCAGGTTGGATGAAGATGGCAAAGTCTTGACCCCGGAGGAGCTGCTCTACCGGGTAAGTGGGTGGAGGGTGGTGCGGGCCTCCTGGGTTGGCAGCTGGAGCCCCCGGAGTGACAGCTGGGCCCTCCCAGGCTGTGCAGTCTGTGAACGTGACCCATGATGCTGCACACGCACAGATGGATGTCAAGCTCCGTTCCCTCATCTGCGTGGGACTCAAGTGAGTATCTGCCCACCGCGGGCCAGTGACCGTCCTGTCAGATGAGTGGTAGCCTGGGCCGTGGGCCGGTGGGGCAGCGGGGTGCCTGCGAGCTGGACAGACGAGGCAGCTGGGGTGCCTTCCGGGGAGCCAAGGGCCTTCCTCAGGTGCGAGACCAGCCATCGTTTTGTGGGCTGGGGAAGGCACACACTTCAGCAAGGTGACCGGTGAGGGGGCTCACCAGAAACAAGGCCATCACAGAGAACTAGGGAGGGGCACCTGCCTGAGGGTAACTTGGGCATCTGTGAGGCCCAGACCTGGGTCAGGGTGAGTGTGGTGTCTAGATTTGCCACTTGGCAGAGGGGGCAACCTCCAGGCTGCTGTGACCCAGGCCAGGGTGGGAGGAGGGGTGGTTTGTGGCGGCAAAGCTCCCGGAGCTCAGAACGTGGCTGTGGGCCTCACTCAGGGGCTGACCAGCAGGGCTGAGGCCCCTGTGCAGCGGGTGTGGTGGAGTCTGACACAGCGGGAGGGAGCCGGGACAGGGCTGAGGGGAGCGAGGGCCATGGGGACAGGGGCCCTGGGGGATGGGTGGGCCCCTGCGCGTGTCCCTCAGCGTGGGGGAGCAGGGCGCTCCGCAGAGACCTGGCTAAGAGCGAAGGCGCAGTCACCTGATGAGGTCACAGCACAGGGAAGGCAGCTGGGGGTGGGCAGCCCACTCTTGCCCGCTTGTCCCCAGCGAGCAGGTCTTGCACCTGTGGCTGGAGGTGCTCTGCTCCAGCCTGCCTACCGTGGAGAAGTGGTACCAGCCCTGGTCTTTCCTGCGCAGCCCTGGCTGGGTCCAGATCAAATGTGAGCTCCGGTGAGTCCCCGCCCCTGCTTCGGAAGCCCTGCCCCGTGGCTTGGGGTGGGAGAAGCGGGGGGCAGAGCTGCCCTGAGGGAGACTGACGGCCTCCCCACTCCCTCCCTCACCTCCAGCGTTCTCTGCTGCTTCGCCTTCAGCCTCTCGCAGGACTGGGAACTTCCTGTGAAGAGAGAGGTGGGTGGCTGCGGTCAGTCCTCAGCCCCACAGCCTGTCCTCCCGTCTGGGGGCCGCCTGGGGTGGGGCAGGCCGGGCAGCTGAGCTGGCAGCTCGCCCCAAAGCTTCTGGGCCGGCTGAGGCGGGAGGGCCCGTGGGGACCCCAAGTGCCGGCATCACCTACACAGACCACTCCGGCCCCGCCGCCTTGGGCTTTCCTTGCCGTGGCTCTAGCGCCTGTGCGCCCATGACGGGGGACTGTCCCTGTGTGCAGGAGGAGAAGAAGCCACTGAAGGAGGGTGTTCAGGACATGCTGGTGAAGCACCACCTCTTCAGCTGGGACATAGACGGGTGATGCTCCTCCTACGGTGGCCGTCAAGCCCACACCTCCCCCAGGCACCCGGCTCCCGAGCAGCCCCCTCCTCAAGCAAGCGGAGAACAGCACGGTCCTGGCCGGTCTTGGGGCTGCTCTGGGATGGGGTCTGAGGTGGCCCAGGCCCATTCTCAGCTGCGGGGTCAAGGGAAAGACGCACTGGAGCTCTGGCCAGGCACCACGACACAGCGGGACGCCACCTGGGGGCACCCAGGAGTGTCACGGGAGGACAGTGGGAGGCAGGAGCAGAAGGTGGGGCTCAGCCTATTTTTCCCGGTACCCAGGGGAGGGCTCTGCACAGGCATTTACAGAGACCCCAGGCCCCCATTTCACAGTTTGTACCGACCAAAAACCTTAGGAGGTGGAGAGCCAGGTCTGTTGTGTCAGTTTTTGCTCAGGAAGGGGATGGGGGCGGCCAGAGGCTCCCTGGCCTCTCTGGTTTGTAAATAAAGTGTGTCTTTGAGAAATCACCTCTTGTCTTCTGTCCAGCCAGGGCCACAGCTGTATGTCCAAGGTTCTGTCCTTCCTGGAATCATCTAGAAAGCCTAGGACCCAGCCATACCACCCACCTGTTCCGTGGAGTGAACAAAAATGGACCAAAGTCAGTGTTTTTGTTTTTATTTTAAAAAAGTCCACACAGCTTCCCGACCTCTGTCCCGGCACTGGTTTGGTGATTCCATCTAAATCCCATTAATGATAGTGACAGGCCAGAGGGAGCTGAGGAGGCCTCAGTTTGAGGGCTGACGCCCCCCCCCACCCCCACCCCCCGCCACCTCCCGTCCCAGGGCGGCTGCGATGAGGCAGCGGGACGGAATGTGGGCGGGTGGCCAAGGAGGCACCTCTGCCCTTGTGGCACAAGTATGGAGCGGGGCACAGGTGGGGCACAGGCGGTGGCAGGGTGTCTACATGTCAAACACGCGTGATGGGGCTGACGAAGGCTGCATCTAACCCCAGGAGCAGTGGTCTCTGGGCCCTTCTATATTGTGCACAGGATGGGAGGGAGCTCCAATCCACCTCCCAGCCCCCAAAAATATATGTATATATATGTATGGCGATATAGAATATAGAGGTATATACACCTGTACATAAAACGTTTGCCACCAACTGTTTGTTAGATGGTTACACTACACCAAGACACTAAAATGGCAAGGGGCTCCCCTCCCAGAAGCCTGGGACCCTGGGGTTGGCATCGAGGGGACAGGGAGGTAGAGGCCCAAGCTGGTTTCTTCCCTCATAGGGAAAGGGGACTAGAAGGAAAGAGAGTGACCCTGGGCCTCGCCTGCCTGAGCCAACTGTAGCCAGACCGCACCTCCGACCTCACAAAAGGAGGTCAATAGAACGGCCCTGGCCTGTCCAGGCCTCCTGAACTCGGGTTAGACCAAAGCTGCTCCTTGGCAGCCTGTCTCCTTGGTGAGTCTGAGCCAGGGGGCGGCACGGCCTGCTCCAGTCTCCTGGGGTGGGGAGAGCAGGGCCTATGATTGTCAGGACTCACGACCACACAGAGGTGGGATCAGGCTCTCCCCAGCTTCCAGCCCCTCCCATCCTGGCCCTGCAGCCTGAGAGCTACAAGCAGGAATCCCAGTGGAGTTGCAAGTCGTGACCATCGAGGAAGTCCGTGGAGAAGAGGCTGGGGGTGGTGGTGCCGAGCGGGGCCAGGCTGAGCACGGGGCCTCCCGACGACAGCTCCAGCCAGTCCATGCTGTCCAAGTGGCCGTCAGCCAGGTCCAGGCCCACGCTGCTGGGCTCGGGGGCAAAGTGCAATTCCGAGGTGTCCATGGGCGAGGGGGGGTGGTCCAGGATAGCAGAGCTGCTCAGCATCTGGCTGTGGAGGTCGTCAATGAGGGAGAGGGGCTCTGGCCCCTCGTGCCCGCTGGTCAGCAGGGGCAGCCCCGTGCTGCTCTCCAGGAAGTCCTCCAGGCGCCCGGGGAGGGCAGGTGAGCCTGAGGGAGGTGGTGTGGCCTGGGGGAGCTCGGCGGAGGGTGGGGACGGTGCGGCCAGGGGTGACCCGCAGGTTGCTGTCGAGGGAGGCTTCTCTTTCCCTGGTAGGGATGGTGGTGGCTCCTTGAAATCTGCTGAGATTTCTGCCAAGCAAGAAAGTGAAGGGATGTCAGAAACCAGGCCTGATTAATCAGGACCCGAAGCTGGCCCGACTTTATACCACATACAAAGGTTAACTCCAGATGGGTCAAAGGTCTAAATTCAGGAGCTTAAACTACAAAACTCTTAGAGGGAAATGGGAAATCTTCACTGGACTTGTCAACGATTTCTTGGTTGTGACACCAAAAACACGGGTAACAACAAAAATACACACACTGGACCATATAAAAATTTAAAACTTTTGTGCGTTGAAAAGACCATCAAGAGAAAAGACAGTCCGTGGAATGGGAGGAAATGTCCACACACCATGTATCTGATGGGTCACATCCAGAGTGAAGAACTACAACTCAACCCCAAGGAACCGAAGGCAGAGACCCCACAAGATCTGCAAAGGACCCGTAAGGACAGGAAAAGATGCTCAACCTCATTAGTCACTAGGGGAAAGGCACGTCAAAAGTATAAGGAGACACCACCTTGGGGCGCCTGGGTGGCCCGGTGGGTTAAGTGTCCGACTCTTGATTTTGGCTCAGGTCATGATGATCTCACAGTTCATGAGTTCAAGCCCTACGCTGGGGCTCTGTGCTCTCAGCACAGAGTCTGCTTGGGATTCTCTCTCTCCCTCTCTCAAAATAAATAAACTTGAAAAAAAAGATAACCACCTCACACCAAGTCAGCTATTATTTTTTTTTAAAAAATCCAAAGTGTTGGTGAGGATGTACAGCAGTCCGAAACCTTGTGCGTGGCTGGTGTGAATGAAAATGGCGCAGCCGCTGCGGGAAGCCATGCAGGCTAGTGGGCCGGTGTTCACAGCAGCAGTACTCACAACAGCCAAAGGCGGAAACAAGTCAGGTGTCCATCAATGGACGAGCAGATGAGCAGCGTACTCTATCCCTACAGCGGGCTACCATTCAGCCACAAAAAGGAAGGAAATTCTGACACCTGCTACAACACGGATGAACCTGGAGGGCATTCTGCCACGTGAGGCAAGCCAGAAACCAAAGGACAAAATAATATAGGATTCCACTGATGCGAAGCTCCCTAGAATAGGCGAATTCAGAGCCAGAAAAGAAAACAGAGGTTACCAGGGGCTGGGGGGAGGGGAAGGGGGAGTTACCATCTACTGGGAAACAAGTGTCAGTATAGGATGACGAAAAAGATCTACAAATGGATGGTGGTGATGGTTGCACAACAATGTATTTAATGCCACTGAATTGTGCATTTTGAAATTATTAGAATGGCAGATTTTCTGTGTTTAACCACAAAAAAAAAAAAAAATTCTGCAGAAACCAGGCTTGCTCCTGGCCCTCCGGGGCCTCTCCCCACCCCCGTCCCCTCTGGGCATGACAATCTCCCCAAGCTCAGTCTCCCCGGCTGCCACCACGGTGGGGGGGGCCCTGCTGGCCCCCACCCACCCCGTTCAAAGGCCGCCTCCGGCACAGTTGGCCCTGACTCTGGCCAGTTGTGTGTTTTTTGGGTGGCAGGCAGCACGCCCGGCTCCCTTTCTCTGCCATCTCTTCACGGCTAGGGCTCCAGGCCTCGCCTCCTCCCTCTGCTTCCGGCACAATCTCGGTTTTCCCAGGAACTCCCCTTGTCTGTGCCCAGGCCTCTGTCCCGGGCTCTAGACCAGCCTCCAACCGCCTGCGAGCACCGCCCAGCCTAGCCGCCTCAGTGCCACCTGTGCTTGTTAGAAAGGTACCCCAGGCCCCACTGTAGACTCCAGAACCCGTGGAGGCTCCTAGGAATCATGACCTTGAGGGGAACAACAGCTATTAAGCTCTGTGGGATTTCTTTTTTGAGATAAAATTCACCATTTTATTTATTTTTAAAAGATTTTATTCTTTAAAAGAATAAATTACTTAAAGTAATCTCTACACCCTACATGAAGTTCCAACTCACAACCCCCAGATCAAGGGTCACATGCTCCACACAGTCCGAGCCAGCCAGCCCCCAGGAGTCACCATTTTAAAGGGTACCATCCCACTGCCGAGCTCTTGCTTGACCGGCACATCTCGCTAACCCTCTCCCTACACCGGCACTAAAGCCCTCAGAGAACCTCCACAAGCTCCCGCAGCTCCCACCGGGCACCGTGCCCTCCCTGCACTCAGGGACCTCCTCCGCCAGCATGCGAACAGGCTGGCTCTCTGCTCCCTTCGCAGGAAACCCTCTGCAGAGAGCTCTCCAGACCAGCTGGCTCCTCCACCCCCAGGCCCTTGCCCACGTCCCACCGCGGAGCCCTGGTCGAGGCCACCACTGGCCACCACAGTGCTAACCCCGTGACCAGGTCTGGGTTCCTGTCTTCCCCGACTGCCCGGTGACAGCCCCGGACTTCAGGACTTCACCATCTTGAAGGCACCCTCCCACTCTGCCCACAGCCAGACGTCACCTGCTCGTGCCCCTGGGTTCCGCCTCACCCTCCTCTCTGCTCGCCAGATCTCCTGGCTCTGAACGTCAATCCCGATGACAACTCCCAGTACCTGCCTTCACGTGACAGACTGCCCTGCTTGGCGGTCTCGGGAGACACACCTGAGCCTGACGGGCTGCACTGATGCACCGCAGTGCGCCCCCTGCGTCTCCCCCCGAAGTCCTGCAGCTGCAGGCTGGTGACTCAGGCCGAACCCTTCATACCCTCTCGTCCGTGGCTGCTCTCCTGTCATCCCGCCACGTGCCTAGTCCGTAAGAAAAGCAACTATCTCTCTAAGATACACCCACACTCAAGTGCTTCTCCACTTCCCTACCACAGCCTGACCCAGGGCCCCTGACCTCACCTGGATTCCCACAGCTCCCCTTCCAGCGGGAACAGCCCTCCACTTGACTTCATCCAGAGCCCAAGTCCTGCTCGGCGCCCGCGAGGGCTCGTGCTCTGCCCCGACGTGCACCTCCTCCCCCTCCTCTCCCTCCTGCGCTCATGCAGCTCCTCCAACACACCTGGCCTCACGGGTGCCCCCCAGGGAGCTCAACAAGGCCAACCCAACCGCTCTCAGGCACCTCAGACCCTCCCCCGCCCCGACTTTCCATAGTATTTACTCCTCACACGTGATAGAACTCACTCGTCTACGATGCTTCTCCTCACACTAGACCGTGCAAAGGCAAACGTCTCCGTTTTGCTCATCACTACACCCCATGCTGCGGGGACAGTGCCCACCACGCGGTGGGTGCTGGGGTAAAGCACTGCTACTTGAGGGCTGCATCCCCTGGCTGGTTCTTGCCCAAGCCATGGAGATTGGATGTGTCTCAGCTGTTGTTACATCCAAACTATGGGGCCTTTCGTCCATTAAGTGTCCTTTCCATAACCAGACAAAAATCAATAAATCAACCACCCCAGGACTGAAAACAACCTCTGAAGAAAGGAGAAGGTTGGCTAGGAGGCAGCTCGGGAGTCTGGGCTTTACCTCCACTCTGAATAAGAATGTCAAACAGGTCATCCATCTGCTGGCTGGAGGAACCATTTTCCTGTGAAACAAAATAGCAAAAAGAAAAAAAAAAAAAAAGATGACAATCTAGAACAGGAGGCTCCCAGCCTGGCTCAGGGCAGAGCCCCTTCCTTCTGCCCTTGAGCCAGCAGCCAAACCTGCCGAGTCCACCGGCCTGTGCTCAGGCTCCCAGAGCTCGCTCATTCTGCCCCCGGCCCCGCAAGGCCCACTCTGACCCTGTAACACCCACTCGTGCCTGCCCCTATCCTCCAGCTGGGCTTGGTGGGGGGGGATTGTGGGAGCCCAGCCCAGCAGCCCAGGCAGCCCCCCACCCTGGCCAGGCCCCAGTCTACCTTCTTCACCTGCTGTCTGGGCTGCTGGCTCACAGCTTCCTCATAGCCAGGCGGCTCCTTCTTCAGCAGAGAAGTGGGGGTCCCAAAGAGGGGCTGTGATGGGTGCTCTGGGTCCATCTGGGCTGGTGGGCCAGGGGCTGCCGGAGAACCAGGCTGGGACAAGGGCTGGACAGGAGAACAGTGAGAGAACCGGTGACGGCATGAGGAAAGGAGGCCCAGGGCCCTGCACAATCCGGGAGGGCAAGGCAGGGGCGCCTACCTTCTGGGCCGGGACAACTTGTTAGCTGCCCTGGCTTTTAGGAAGCCTGCGTGGAAGCCGTCGGGGCAGAAAAGGATAGGGGATGGGGGAAGCCCTGACCTCTGATCCTGCAGAAGGTGGGGTAGACATGAGGCCACTGGCCACGTGGGTTTGGCACCAGCCACCTGGGAAAGGAGGGGTTCTGGGCTCCTTCAGCCTCTCCTCCCTGTCTGCCTGAGGCTGCTCAGGGGCCTCGGTCTCCCATCCTGAGGTGCCTGGTTCCTGTCACTGTCCTCTCCTCCGCGCCAGAGCTCTGCAGGGCCGAGAAGCCACGCGAAGCCTAAAGCAGCCTCACCTTTGGACCAGCCAGGGTGGAGGGTCTGGGCTGTGAGGGTGGCAGCAGCAGGGAGCTGGCTGCCAGCAGTTTAGTGGGGGACAGCTGGCTTCTCTGGGCGCGGGAGGGGAGTAGGGCTAGCACCAGGCTCGGCCTCTCCCAGGCAAGGGCTTCCCTGACCCTCACCGGGGCCTGTCCCACCCCTACGAAGCAGAGGCAGGCATGGTCCCTGGCCTGGGTGGGGGCTGCCCAGGTCCAGAGCTGGGCAGTCCCTGATGGCTCCACCCTCGTGGCTCTGGGGTCCTGGGCAGCCCCCTTAATCTTCCCAAGTCTCAGTACCCGTCCTTGGTGACATGGGGATGGTGACCCCTCATTTTAGAGGATCGAGTGGAAGTTGAAGGGAAACCAGCCCAGTCTGCCCAGCCATGGGGGCACCTGGTAAACGGGGCTGTCACCGGAGCATCTTCACGGTCTCCCCCAGCCCCTGCCCCTCCTCCACCCAGGTACCTGCTGGGGGCTCCCGCCGGCCAGGCCGGGGCTGTCCACGTTCTTATTGGTCACGGTGAGGACGAGGTGGGTCCCTGTGGAGTCGGTGATGAGGGTGGGAGGTGTGACCCCCCTGAGGACGCTGGGGCCCTGTGGGCCCAGCAGCAGCTGGGGAGCGGGGGCTGGCTCAGGCTCCGGCAGCACGGCTTCCTGCTTCACCACCACGGCTGGGGGCACCAGGGGACAAGCGTCCGCGTGGTGGGCAGTGGGGGCCGCCAGGCTGGGGCTGAAGGGGTGTGCGGGACCCGGGGGCTGCCGGCTCAGCTGGCAGCTGGAGAAGCTGTTTTCCTGCTTCACTGGGGTGCTGAGGGGGGCGGGGGCGGGGCCGGGCTGCTGCGCCCGCTTCTCCTGCTCCAGCTGCAGCCTCAGCCACTCCACGAGCTGCTGTTTCTGGCGCAGCATGCGGGTCAGCTCCTCGATCTGCTTGTCCTTTTCCTGCAGCATCTGGTCCTTGTCACGCCCCTCCAGCTCGGCCCGCACCCCGGGGCTCCGGCAGCAGGACCCGGGCCGGGGGCCCTCCTCCTTCACAAGGATCTGTAGCGGTGAGGCCTGGAGGGTGAGCTGGGTCAGCGGCGACGTCACCATCTCTCCAAAGGTGTCCCCGGGTGTGGAGTTCTCATCGCCCGTGCTGAGCAGTGAGCGCTCTGAGGGGGTGGGAGACACGGGGGGTGTAGAGCCCGTGCTGCCAAATTTCACCACTCCGTTACCGGTCACCGTGGCCACCACCACCTCAGCCGGGGCCAGGCCCGCTGCCACCAGGGCAGGCCCTGTGCTTAGCCGGGTGGCCGGGAAGGCGACCACCACCTCACCAGCCTTGGGCAAGATGGAGGGGGCAGCAGGGCCCTTGGGGGCTCCTGGGGCAGGGCTGACTTGTTCCTGGTATGCACGCAGGCGCTCGATCAGGTCTGTCTTGGTGCCTGAGACGGGCAGTGACCGCAGCTTTAGCTCCTGCTTCAGCTCCGCCACCTGCAAGGGGCCGAGAGTCAGGGCCGCAGAGCGACAGAGAGAACTGGGTCCAGCCAGGAGGGCAGTCGGGGAGGTGGGAAGGATGAGCCTTTTGTCCACCAGGATTCATTCATCTGGGTCCCGCTGGTACTTCAGATACAGGAGCCCCTGCCCCTCCCACAGCCTGGAGGGTGAGACATGTGTGCGTGTGTGTCCTGGGCCCATCCTCCTCCATCTGGGCACGATGGTCCCTCAGCTGTCCCCAGCCCCAGCGCAGTACCTGGTGCTCAATTAAATACTTAATTGAACCAACTGGATTTTACAGGTGAGAAAACAGACCACAGAAGTAAAATGACTTCCAGATCTCACCCAGCAAGCAGCAGAGTTAGATGTTAAACCAAGGTCTGATGGACCCTGGAGCCTGTGCCTAGCCACCCACACGAGGGCTGCATCTTACTGGGGTCGGATCATGACTCGGGAGGGGCTGGTCTGCTTCTGAGGACAAACTCTCCAGGGAGAGTTTGGTCTGTTCCATCTTCTGATCAGGGCAGAAGAAACAGGCCAGGCCCTGAGCATGACCCACCCTCTGAGGTCCCAGGACACGAGCAGGGTCAGTGTCCCAAGCCCCAAACTATTTCCCCAGGCAGATGAACCATGTGTGTGCAGCACATTCAGTGGGGCGCTAACAGACAAAGTAGAAAAGGTGGGGAATTGAAGCCGGCGGCCCCACATTTGAATCCTGGCTCTGCCATCGGCCGGGTCTGAGACCTCCGACGAGCTCCTCTGTCCTCAACACCTCCACGTGCTCATCCCGAGGCAGTCGGGACAGTCCCTATTTCTCATGCCGCACAGCAAAGGTGAAGGAAGAGCAGTCATATAAAAAGGCTTGGTAAGCCCCAAGGCCCTAGACAGACGCCGGCTGCGATACTTAATGGTAAGGACTGTGATGACAAGGCAGACATCACGATGACCAGGGCCAGGCGAGCCTTGGAGCAGGTTCTAAGGGCCTCTGCCGGAGGAGACCGGAGTCCGGAGCTCTGCTCTGCCTACCACCGCCGTGGGGCTTACACCGGCTGCTTTCCCCACATAGAAACACTAGGCCAGACCCCAGGGGGAAGGCCAGCCTGGCGGCGGTCCCAGCGTCCCAGCAGGAAGGGCTCGCCCACCTACCTTCATGTCATCCAGGTTGGCAGGCAGGGCTCCCGGCTTGCCAGTCAGTGAGGTGCTGTTCTGACGTGCCAACCCACTGGGACCAGGAGCACCCGAGCCGGAGCCGCTACCAGTAGTGGAGAGGCTGCGTATCGGGGGGGCCCCGCCGCTTCCCGGAGCCTCACCTGCGGGCCTGAGAAGAAGGAAAGGTAGCGATGAGAGCCTGGCCAGCATCACCCTTGGGGCAGAGACGGGTGCGGGGCGTGAGGATCCGGAACAAAGCCTCCTTAAGGATCTGGGTTCGCCCGCACCAGGCCCGGCATCGGCCAGTCGGGCGGGGTAGGGGTGATGGTGGCGAGTGGGTTCCTACTTTGGCGGGGCGGGCAGGATGGTCTGGTAGTTATAGTGCTGCTGCTGCTGCTGGTTGAGGATCTGGAGCTGGAGGAAGAGCTGCTGCTGCTGCAGGATCTTGGCATAGGAGGAGTCCATGGCGGGCGCCCCCTTGTCCTGCTTTTGGTCCGGGGGGATGTACTGGTGATACTTGAGCTTCTTCACCTTTGGCTTCAGCTCCTTGGCTTTCTTGCTGCGCTGCGACTTCTCACTGGCAGACTTGGGTTGGCTTTGCTGAGGGCAGAGGAGACAGCAGGCGCCATCAGGGGGCAGCGTCGGGCTTCGAGAAGGACCCGTCCGCTCCCCCGCTACCAGGCAGCGGCCTCATCAGTGGCCACAAGCGTGCCAGGGGGGAGGCCGGGCACAGCCCCTCTTTCTTAAAAGAGCCTCTGGCCCGGAGACTAATCAACCAAATGCGGACGTCGCCATGACCTCCAGCTAAGAGTAAACGCAACAAAGTACCAAACAGCTAGTGGATGGAGCTCACAGCCTCCACATCAGGTACTTTAGGAGACGTGTCACCCCGAGCGCTGGGGGCTGGGAGCCAGCCCACAAGGCCGAGGAATCCCCCGCGCAAGAGAAAGGGGAGACAAATAGATTTACGCTGTTCTTTCAAATGTGTATGGATAAAGAAAGGCACCAATTGTGCGATAAGGAACAGGCTTGAGGTGGATCTTGGGGGGAAAAACTCCGACATCTGTGGCCGATGGCCGCCAGGAATAGACCCCAGAGGTGAGAGGCACCCGGAAGAACAAACGGCCTGGGCACTGCAACCCTAGCGGGGCAGCTCACTGACTCCTCTGGGATGGGGAAGCCACACACTCGAGACTTCCTGCCAGCAGCAGGGCCTCGGGGGGCTTTGCAGAGATGGTGCACACAGGGTGGGGACACCACACAGGAGGTCACCAGGGAGCCCCATGAACAAAAAGGTAGCAGCCGGAGGCACAGCAAGGACTCGGCTCCAGTGAGGGAATGGGAACCTGGATGGCTCCCAGGCTGGGAGCAGCAGCAGAGGCACGCGGCTGGCTCCCAGCCAGGGCAGCGTGTGTGTCGGGGGGCAGACGGTAAGATGAGAGGGAGAAGCAGGTGGGGCAGGAAGGAAGGGAAGCTGCCCCGGGGTTGAGGGGGAGAGCAGAGGTGCAGGCGTGGAGAGGCAGCAGTCTGGAGCGAAATCCCGGAGACCCTGAAGTAGGAGGCTCTGTGGGACAGGGAGGACGGACCCTGGGTCATGGGGCTGCTGAGCTCCATGAACCTCCGTGCCCCACACGGTGTCCCCCACACCAAGGTCCCCCAGGAGGTGTCTTGGGGATTGGTGGTCAGCCTTGCCCCCCAGACATGTTAGGTCAGGTCTTGGAGGAAGAGAACAGAAAATGCCCCGGGGCACCTGGCTGGCTCAGTTGGTTGAGCATGCAACTCTTAATCTTGGGGTCATGGGTTCAAGCCCCATGTTGGGTGTAGAGATTAAAAATAAAATCTTAAAAAAAAAAAAAAAAAAGCCCAAAGCAGCCCCTGTGTGACCTGGCGCCCATTATTTCCCTTCTCAGTTTTGTCACTCCTAGAGCAGACTTCGATTACTGCCTCATGTGGTGTCAGCAGACCAGAGGGGTTGGGTGGGGGTGTGTTTTCGCCGGCAGGGCGGAATAAGAGCCACTGTGCTCAGAAAATGGCAGCTACGAGGGTGACAGCCAGCGTCCGCAGAGAGAAGAGGAGAAACTCCCATGTTACTTCCATGACCTATGTTGGTGCACTCCCCCCGCCCCCCACCCCCAGCTGGCCCCACACTGGGATGAAATCACAGCAGGGCTTGGAGGGGCCCGGGGAGGGGAGGGCAGCTGCTGGGACCTGTACCTTAATAAGCGTCGGGGTGGGCTTGGCAGGGGGGGCTGTGGTTCCATTGGTGAGGCTGGGAGGCAGAGGAGGCTGCTCTGCCAGGAAAAGTGTTTCTCCGGAATCCGGGCCCACTGGGAGCTGAGACACCACCTGAGAAAGGGCTGGAGGTGAGGACAGCCTCCCTCTCCCGCTGCCCCAGGGGGCACGACCATTATCAGGGGGTCCATCCCAGCCCTGCCCTGCCTAGAGGCGGCTACAGGCACCTCCTCCAGAGCCATCACGGGCAGGGGGCCACCGGTGGGCAAGATGGGAGGCGGGGTGAGAACCCGGCCCCCAGGGCAGGGTTGAGGGAGCTGGAACATGGAGACACAGAGGGCAGTGGAAAGGCCACTGAACTGAACTCGGGAGAAGCAGGCTTTTCCGACTGGACGCAGGGACAGGCCAGGGAGGCTCAGGAATCTTGCTGCAAGGCAGCCCCAGCCCGGGACCACAGGCTGGCGAAGTCTGGCCAAAACGGGGCCCGCTGCCGACACCTCCCCGCTCCCCACCACTGCGACTCAGGCAGCCATGGACATCCCCAGGTTCCCCACCACACCTGGCCCAGGCGAGACCTCACCCTGGGCAGCTCCAGCAGGTCTGGGGCCCTTGGGGAGCAGGGAAAGCATCCAGCAGGGGCAAGCTCACCTGAGTGGGGGATAGGGTGGTGGCACTGGACAGTGGCTCGCTGACTCGGGCTTCCAAGGGGGATGGCGCCGAGCCCTGGGACTCATGGCTCGCAGGCTGCTCAGGGGATAAGGCATCACTGCTGTCCTCATCGAAGGAAGAGCTGTCCGCTACTTTCGGGTAATTCACCTGGCCCACTGAAAGCCAAAGCCATGGTGAGAGTCCACCTCCAGTGCCCGCGAATGGGAAGGGGGGTTGTCCCAGCAAGGTGCCCACTCTGGCCCCTCCTCACCCCCAGCGAGGCCGACGTGAGAAAGACCAGCAAAAGAGCTCCAGGAGAGCGCCTCTTCAGGACCCCCAAACAAAGGCAGGAAGAGTGCTGGCTACTAAGCTATCAAGTGCTCCCTTGCTTTTGACTTCACTGTGTCCAGTCCCCAAGGTCAAGCCCTACTTTCCCTCCCTCCCTGCCTCCCTCCAGCCTGCAGCCTCCTTCATGTCATCTGCTTCCCTGCTGTTAAACGCACTTCACTTCCATCCTATGGTGGCACAAAACTCTTCTCCTCCCCCAGAGGCTTGTGGACCCTGCAATGAGGGCTCCTCCCCGGGGCTGCCTCCACTTCCTAAAGGGCAGGCACAGGCTAAGGGCCTCCCGGAAAAGGTACACCTGCTTGCACAGGTGAAACAGGATCACTGAAGTACAGTGACCTCCCTTTAGTGGCCTGTGACTCCCAGAGACACAAGACCTGGCAGCAGCGGCCACCAGAAGGAAAGCCCCCCTGCTGGCTAGAAATGCCCTGCCCCGTGGTCAGGGCCCCTGGCCGCCTCAAGTGCACGTGCTCCTGGGGCCAGGCTGTGAGGGAGAAGCAGGGGGCGCAGGGCCCTAGTGTGGAAACGCCAGGACACAAAAGGAAGGAGCAAGTAGGTATTTCACACGATTCACATCACAACCACCCCCTCAGTGCCGCTGCAGGAAGAGAATCTGCGCTGGTCTGCCATTCACACGGGAGGGACTGAGGCAGCGGTCACAGCACGGAGGTGAGCTGTCGGGCATGTCTGGGGAAATCTGCTGTGGTGGAAAGACCACAGATGAGGAACAAGAACACACTAGTAACTCTCCCAGCAGACTCTTGCTCTCCGGGGCCACAGCCTGAGGCTCTCTGCTCCCCTGGGACCAGGGAAGGATGTGCCTGAGCTTGAAGCTCCGGAGCCCGGAGCCCGGGATGCCCATCGCCGGGCTAGCTCCTGTCCTCCGGCAAGGCTGGCTCCTACACCTCCTTTCATCTGCCCTGGCGGGGGCCACATGTGCAGCACACGGGGGAAATGGAGCCCCGTTACTGTCACGTACTTCAGGCCAGTCACACATCTAGATTTCTCCCACTTCCTCCCAGCAAGGAGACACGCCACGGGACAGCAGCCACACGACACCCAGCACCGGACGGCGGAATCCCGGACGGAGGAGCTTTGGCTCCACCCCCGGGGACAGTCCAAGCGGAGGGAGTGGCCGGCCACACCGGAGAAGCCCAATGACCAGTGTGGGCCAGGGTCCCTGCAGAGTGCATTCCTCTCCCTATGGTGGCCGGGTCTGGGCCAGGTGCAGGGTGTGGAGAGACAGAGTCCCCGCCCTCTGATTTTGGTCCAGTCGCCTCTGCTTGAGGGAAACACAGATGCTGAGGAGAGGCTCAGGGAGGACTTCTTGGAAGAGAGATCTTGCCATGAATCTTACAGATCAGCTGGGGGTGACCTGGGGGAGGGATGTGCATGTGAGCACGCGAGTGGCAGCCGTGTGCTGGGAGTGGCCGTGGGGAGTGTGTGGGGAAGACAGCGGGAGGCCAGCCTCTGCAAAGCCCCTGTCAGGCCCCCACTTACAGCGGGCCTCAGGACTGCCTGGGCTCCCTCCCCACTCTCCACGGCCAGCTTCTCCTCCTCCTCCACAGACCTGGCCTGAGTCTCTCCCCTCCTATCCTCCCATCTCCTCCTCTGACTCCTTCCTCTCAGCCACACACCTGCATCGATTTCTCCTCCCAGCCCACCCTCTCCCTCCCCCTTCCTTCTCCGCTCACTTCTTGAACAAACGGCCTGCCTTTGCTGTCAACGCTTCCTTGCCACCTACTCATTCCCCAAAACCCACAGGATCTGGCGTTGGCTGGCAAATGCTCCTTTCTCTCAAGTCACCAGTGGTCACTACGTACCCCGTCCTCAAACAAACTACGCCCTAACACGCCCACGGGCCGCTGCCCATGCTGTCCCCGTGCCTGGAGTGTCACGTACGCTCCCCATTTGGCCAAGGGGGACCCCAAATGTGCCGTACTGTCCGTGACCGCTCTCCGGGCCCCACCACCGTGCCCATCGCTGAGAGGACACCTTCTCAGCCGAGCTCACACTACACCTGACCCACCATCACCCCACGTCGTCCACGACAGCAGCCGCCCTTCTGTGAGGCTCCCCAGGCGCCAAAGACTGTGCGGGGCCCTTTATATCCATCACTGTGGACCTGAAAACTGTCCCACAAGCCAGGTGACTCAGCTACTATGTCACAGGACCGTGACCTTCTCACTACGCAGCGCTGGCACCTGACCAGGGGCCAGACTCAGAAATCACTTGTTCGTACATCAGTCTCCTCTCATTGTACTGAATTCTTTGAGGGCAGCGTCATATTTTGTTCATCTCTGTAAACTGCAGAACGTTACACAGGGCCGGGCACAATGCCGACTCTCAGGTTTCGGCTGGCTAGAGAGCCCAGAACTGACCGTCACCTAAACGCGGGGCCTGAGATTAGGGGCTGTGTGGAATCTGGTGAGGATTGGGCAGGAGAACACGGAGAGGAGGGGGGATGAATGCCAGGGCAAAGCGGTGAACTAAGAGGGTTACCGGCACCAATGGCAGAGGGGCTGCTGGGGCCCAGGGTGTGCAGCCCCCGGCACGCCGGCTGCCTCCGACCTTGTCAAACCACTGTCTGCGGTGCAGACGAGGCCCCGGAAACCAAAGTCTCCTCTGACCCAGGGCTCAGGGCCCAACTCAGCCTGGGGCCCTGCCAAAAAGATCTAACTGCTTATAACGAAGGGAGCAGTTGCGCCCCCTCTCCCTGGTGGCACAGCTACCTTCCAGGGGCAGGAACGCACGGCCTTGCCCAGGACCAGGTCTCGGGCCCACTGTAGCCCAGGAGCCACATCGGTGCTAACAGTTACCAAACTCTAAAGGAATCCGGTCCGAACACCTGCCCATGGCACACGAGGCTCTGGCACGTCCTGGACTCTGCCCACCTCCTACCTCCCGTCTCGATACCCCCTCCTCCAGCTCCACGCCCAGGCTGCTCCTCACCTTGCACAGCTCTCCCCTGGAGCCCACGGCACCTCTCTCCCCGAATATACTTTAATTCCTACTCATCCTGCAGCCCTAGACTTGGCCGTCACCTCTTCTGGCACCACACCCCACTCTCAGGGCCTGGCTGGGGACCCTCCTCTGTGTGCCCAGCGTAGCCAGGGCTCTCTCCGGCACAGCTTCTGTCTCTGTCTTGCTGCTGCCTGTTGACCTGCCGGTGTCTGCTCCTAGGCCTGAGCTCCATAAGGGCGAGGGGCCTGCTCTGCTTTGTGGGGCTGCGGTCCTAGCACCTAGCACACCTCTTGGGTCAATCAGTATTTGCTGAGTGAAGTATCTGTGGAAAGTGCCACTCTCTGAGAGAGACTGCACTAAGAAAAAGAGACAGTAAGGCACAGATTTCTAATTCCTGGCATCCCCGTGGGTTTACACACATCAGCCCTGACATCCAGCCACCCCGTGGGAGAGGACAAAGCCTCTGGGTATGCAGAGATGAAGGTGGACAGAGGTGCCTCTGTTGTTCAGTTACTCTGGTGTGACCCCTGAGGCCGCTGGCACTGCCCCAAGCTAACACAGCCTGTTTCTTGGGCCCTCACACTCTGCACCTCAGTTCCCAAGTCAAAGCCGGAATCAAACAGCAAGAAGCCCAGAGCCCCTCCTTCTGCGTCTGGCCTGCATGTCCACGTAGGGTGGCTGGGGCCTCCTCACCGATGATGGCTTCTTTCAGGCTGGACTCCACAGGCAGAATGTTCTTCTCAACCAGCTCCATAGGGCCCGGTCTCTGTGCAATCTTCTCGTTGAGGTCATCGGCCAATCTGGCTCTCTTCAGCTTCAGCTGCTTGGCCTGGAGGGAAGGCTCGGCCGAGGTCTCTGCCCGTGGGAGAGAATGGAGTGCAGGAGGATGTAGGAATGGACCTGGCTCTACCCTGGGAGCTCCAGAGCAACTCTCCTTCCCTCTGGGGAAGGAGCAGAAGCCATCAGGATGCAGAGAGTGTCCCAGGCAGAGAAGGGCAGCCCAGCCTGAAGTTCTACGTGGACACAAGAAGGGGCCCCGAACTGCAGACAGAGCACGGGCACACCTAGCAAAGCTCACCGGGCACAGGGGGCAACAAAGCTGAAAGCGCAGCAGACGATGAAGCGTGTGCCTCATCCTCCCTCAAGCTTTCTGGGTTACAAAGGCAATTCAGTCCCTGCTGGGTCTCAGTGTCTCTGTCAACACAGTGCGGTGCTTGGACTAAGAAAAGTTCCTATCCAACCCCAAAGTTGGCTCAAAACTGAACAGGGGCGCCTGGGTGGCTCAGTTGGTTGAGTGTCTAACTTGATTACGGCTCAAGTCATGATCCCAGGTCATGGGACCAAGCCCCAAGTTGGGCTCCATTCTGAGTGTGGAGCCTGCTTAAGATTTTCTCTCTGGGGGGCACCCGCGTGGCTCAGTCGGTTGCATGTCTGGCTTTGGCTCCGGTCATGATCTCACAGTTTGTGAGTTTGAGCCCCACATCGGGCTCTATGCTGACAGCTCAGAGCCTGAAGCCTGTTTTGGATTCTGTGTCTCCCTCTCAGTCTGCCCCTCCCCTGCTCATGCTCTCAA